CAAACAACTGATCACAACTTAGGTTAAAGACACTAACTTCCCTTTATGGATATGCACTTAATAGTTTTGAGTCTATTTTCTACTTCCAGATTATACCATGTTTTCTACCAGTAAAGTTATTATTTGCATGATGGACTGAATTATACCAGCAAGTGTTGTTCTAGCATTAAGAAACTACAAAGTCTGCAATGAAATCCCAAGTACTTTTTCCTAGGATGAGTTTGATAGCATTGAAGACTTATGAGTGACTTCAAAGAGCCACAGCCACTTTAAGAAGTAGTGTGTCGCCGGGCATGGTGGTGCACGCCTTTAGTCCCAGCACTCGGGAGGCAGAGGAAGGCAGATCTCTGTGAGTTCAAAGCCAGCCTGGTTTACATAGTGAGTTCCAGGCCAGGTGGGGCTGCAGGGGGACCCTGTCTCAAAAAGGCCAAAAAAAAAAAGAAAAAAAGTAGTGTGTCTAGACTAGTGGGATGGCTCAGCGGGTAAAGGCATCTGCCACCAAGTCTGATAACCCAGGTTTGATCTCCAGGACCCACATGGTACGAAAGAAAATTTCCCACAAGCTCTCCTCTCACCTCCATATGTGCATCATGACACACGAACCTCCCTCCTCCCCGCCACAACTTTTTAAAGAAGTATGACGGCAGGAGCAGGGTAATAAAGAACTGGCGCTTTCCAAAGCCCATCCCTCTTGGGTCCTGGACTCACCTTGCTGTTGACACAGTAAGGGTGGTAGGACTGAGAGCACTGCGAACAGGCCAGGAGGTGGCCCTCAGCCCCCCGACCAAAGCTGCCGCACACCACACACATGTCCTGGGGAAGACACAGAAACTTCAGTGTGTGTGTGTTATGGAGGACATCAAATGTCTTCCTCTATCACTCTCTACCTTGTTTTTTTTAATTCCTTGGGTAATTTTTATTAAAGATTTTATTATCATTTTTATTGAATTTTTGTGAATTTCATGTATTTTGATCATATCTAGATGCCCTCCCCTGTCTCTACTTCCCTTATAGCCCTCTCCACTAGCCAGATTTCACGTGCTTTGTTAGACTTAATACCTATTAAGGTCTAACAAGTCCAATTTGTATTTTCAAATGTCCTTTGGTGTGGGTTGATCCATTGGAGCCTGGTTAACTTATCTAATGTCACAACTACACCTTATTTTTTGAGACGAAGTTTCTCACTGAAGTGGAAGTTCACCATTTCAACTAGGCTAGCTGGCCGGCCGGCAAGCTCCTGGGATCCACCTGTCTCCTCCCTAGAACACTAGGATTCAGGGCACACATGGCCATGCACAGCTTTTACATGAGTGCTAGAAATTCACTTATTGCTTGCACAGCAGTAAGCAATGTTCTTACCTCTCCCCAGCCCCTTAACCACTGTCTCATTGTACCCAGTCCCAGTCAAACACTAACACTAACCTGAGATCAGGGAGTCAGTAGAATCCCATTCCACAACATTAAGACAATTACTGAGTCACCAATGGACTTTTGCATCTCCCACTCAACTCATAGGAACTGTGCCTCCCTAGGATACCTTAGCGGCCTAATCAGGTAACTTGAATTATAGTCTGTCATAGGTAAAGGTAAGAATAAACTATAAGATAAGGTAAAGACTTGCTTAATAATCATATGTGACAAAATCCCATCAGCTCCAAGATCATTCAGGTGAGAATATATATAGACTCTCCGGACTATTATGTGGGATTAATTCACCATCCACTCTCTTATTGGCTGGGTATCCCAAGAAGTAAAATAGGTCCCTGGTTTTTCACATCCAACCTCCCAGCAAAGTAAGCTCAAACGCACACATGCATGTATGCACGCACCCACGCGCACAGCTCAGCATGTCCACTCTCACTGCCAAAGCTGGGAAAACCCAGTAAAGTATGGTACCTGCATTAGAACAAATTTGTCTGTGTTAGAGAAGAGAACCACGGTATTTTGCATGGTGTCATCCTCCTCCTCCTCCTCCTCCTTGCTGGGAGAACTATCAATATCAGCCACCTTGTAAGTAGAGAGTTGCGAAAAGTAAGGAAGGAAAGGTCTGCCCCAACCAAGCAGCCCTTTCCTTGGTGCTGGGGAAAGAGGTGTGAATAACTGGCTAAGACTAAGGCCAGACAATAGAACTAGGAGGCAGAACACTGAGACTCCCAAGTTGGCCCCTTCCCAAAGAGAAACCTGGGAGACAAGTGGGCCAGCCCTAGGCTAGCCGGCAAGTAAGTGAGCATGCAAGAGACCAGTAGGATTTAAAGTGTGATTAATTTTGAAGGGGCCATGGGAAATATGCTTAGGGGATGCAAAGCCTGTCCTTACTACCAGTGTCTCAATAGAAGAAGTGGTTGATTTCAGTCGGGCCCGTCCTCTCCCTCGTCCTCCATGTGCTCCTCCACGTGGCCGGCGTCTTCCTGGGAAACTACTGCTACGACCCTAAGTAAGGGAAGAGGACCATTACAGGACCGAATGTGTTGGGTGCATAGGCTTGAAGGGGAGAAAGATGATGAATGGACAGAGTATGACAGGTTAAAAAAAAAAAAAAAGCCTAGCCGGGCATGGTGGCACACACCTTTAAACCCAGCACTAGCGAGGCAGAGGCAGGCGGATCTCTGTGAGTTAGAGGCCAGCCTGGTCTACATAGTTCCAGGACAGCTGGGGCTACAGGGAGACCCTGTCTCAAAAAGACATCTTTTAGGGGGGTACCAGGAGGCCCTCTTTAAAAAAAAAAAAAAAAAAAAAAAAAAAATGTAGCCTAGAGGTCCCACTCAGAAGGGCGAAAAGAGCTAAGTTCCCAAATATCAATAATCAGGGAGTTTGGGGAAACAGATTTTCCTCTCTCAAGAAGAACAGCTAACACAGTATAAGGACAAAGAGAGAACAAAGTATTTAGTCCCAATTCTCTTACTGAGTGATCATGAACTTACATAATCATTTACCTCCTTTTAGTAATCTGCTTAGCAAACTCTTAAGTTGAACTAAAGGATTTCTCTTATGAATCTAGGCTACAGAAAGCTAAATGCAAAGGTAGCCCTGAACTGACCTGACAGGAACATGAACGTGGATACATCCAGTGGCTGAAGGGCCTCTCACCTGTTTGATTCGGGAACGGGCTGGGGAGCTGCGCCGACGTCCCTTGTCTCCCTCAGCTTTGCCTCCACTGATAGTTGTCCCAGCATCACATAATAGTGAGTCATCAGTCTCTGGCAGCGAGTCAGTACAGAGTCGTAGGGAGCCCTCATCTCGAGCTGGACTAACATCTGTAGATACTCCCAGCTCCATGGACAAGGAGCCGCCCCCCTCAGGATCAGGAGAGCCCAGCAGGGGCTCTGAGCCAGGAAAACTGGCACTGGCATCACCCTGGCTCAGATTAGAGATCTCATTAACGATGTCAGATTTGATGAGAGTGGGTGGTATGGGGGCCACTGGTGCACGGGGCTCCTCTTGCTCTTCACAGGGAGAGCCCTGCCCAGCCTGCTTGCATTCTGGACCATAGACCTCCATAGGGGTCACAGGGGCCAGCTCCTCGGGGTCCAGGAGCACAGGGGAACCTTTACATTCACTAGCCAAACTGCCAGGTAACTGTCCAGTCTGTGACTGTGAAGGGTTAATATCGGTCCCATCTAGAGGGGCTATGTCTTCTCCCAAGCCAGAGAAGTCATCCAGGGCTGGGGCAGGGCTGGGGGAAGGGCAGGAAAGGTCCCCCATGGGAGAAGGGAGAGGGCTGGTGGCACTGGGTTCTAAGGATGGGCACTCTGGTTCGGGACCTTTCTCAGTCTCCATCTCATGCAGCTCAGCCTCATCTGAGACATCTACTGCCCTCCCCACGGGACTCAGAGGGGAAGGAGCAGACCGTGGCAGAGCAGGAGGGGAGCACTGGGAAGGAGGAGAGTTTGGAGGAGGCAAGGAGTGCTGAAGGGGTGGGGAACATGGTTGGGGGAGGGGCTCCATAAGGGTAGGAGAAGCAGGTCCCACTGGGGAGCCTGGAGATGGGGGAAGGATCATTGGGGGTACAGGCTCAGGGTCAGTGCAGTTAGCTTCTGGTGGAGGGCTGATGGGTGTCTCTAGGATGGGGGCAGCTAATGGTGATTCAGGGTCACTGTCCCCTTTGGCACCAAAGGGGTACTCCCCCAAAGGAGACAAGGCTGGTGGGGCTGCAGCTGGGATAATGGGTGAGAGCGGAGGAGGAAGAGGATCTGGGGGAAAGAGAAAAAGAGAGGCTTAGATTAAATGTGACATAAAGTATGAAGACTGTCCCAAAGGGGGCACTAACATTCCCTTACCTGGTGGCATCAGCTGAGGTGACAAGGCTGGCTCGCCCGATGGGGACAAGGGCAACTCCTCAGGCAGAGGGGATAGAGGTGGTTCCCCAGACTCAGACAGGGCTGCCTCTCCAAGCAAGGGGGATAAAGGTGGTTCCCCAGGTAGGGGTAACAAGGGCAGCTCCTTAGATGCAGGGCATTGGCCTAGCTCCTCAGGAGGCTCTTCAGGCCGAGGAGATTGGTGCAGTTCTTCAGGCTGGGGCTGCAACAGGCATGGGTCCTCAGACATGGGGGACAGGTAGGGCTCCTCAGGCTGGGGGGACAGATGTGGTTCCTTAGGCCGGGGGGACAAGCATGGTTCCTCAGGCACAGGGGGCAAGAGCAGCTCCTCAGGCTGAGAGGAGAGACACGGCTCTTCAAGTGTGGGGGACAGGCACGGCTCCTCAGGCTGGGAGGACAGGCACGGCTCCTCAGGCTTGGGGGACAGGTGCGGCTCTTCAGACTGGGGACAGATTTGGGGTTCCTCAGGTTGGGGAGACAGGTACGGTTCCTCAGGCTGGGCGCAGAGTCTCGATTCCTCAGGCAGTGGCGACAGGGGTGACTCCTCCAGCGGTAGGGACATGAGTGAGTTCTCTGGCGGTGGTGAAGTAGAGTCTTCAGGTGGTGGGGATATAGGAGAGTCCTCGGGTGGTGGGGATAGACGGGAAGCCTCAGGTGGAGGTGATGTGGGCGAATCCTCAGGTGGTGGGGATAGGGGAGATTCTTCAGGTGGTGGGGACAGCCGTGATACCTCAGGCAAAGGGGATAAGTGTGACACCTCAGGTAAGGGTGACAGGCGTGATACTTCAGGTGGGGGGGACATAGGCGAGTCTTCTGGTGGGGGTGACATGGGTGAGTCCTCAGGGGGTGGGGACAGCCGTGAGGCCTCAGGAGGTGGAGACAGGGGAGACTCCTCAGGTGGAGGAGACAGGGGAGACTCTTCAAATGGTGGGAACAGACGAGATGCCTCAGGTGGAGGGGACATGGGCGATTCTTCAGGTGGAGGGGACATGGGCGATTCTTCAGGTGGCGGAGATAGGCGAGATGCTTCAGGTGGTGGGGAAGTGGGCAATTCCTCAGGTGGAGGGGACAGAGGAGACTCCTCAAATGGTGGAGACAAGGGTGAGGTTTCAGGTGGTGGCGACAGGGGTGTCTCTAGTGCAGCAGATGGGGGCGACTGTTCCAGTGGAGAAAAGGGTGATTCCTCCAGTGGTGAAAAAGTTGATGATTCAGGTGGGGGAGACAGAGGAGACTCCTCAGGTGGCGGAGAAAGAGGTGATTCCTCAGGTGGTGGGGACAGGCGGGATGCCTCTGGTGGTGGGGATGCAGGTGATTCCTCAGGTGGCGGGGACAGGCGTGAGGCCTCAGGTGGTGGGGATGTGGGTGATTCCTCAGGTGGCGGAGACAGGGGTGACTCCTCGGGTGGGGGCAGCAGTGGCATCTCCTCGTTCAGGGGAGTCTCCAACTGGGGTCCAAGTTGGGTCCCTGCTCTCCCTGCAGACACAACATACTATACTCCTACCTAGCTCATATCTACTCCACAGAAAGTACAGGGTCTGAGGCAAAGCAAAAACTGTCTCTTGCCACAGAACAAAAAATTTCAGGGACCCTCAAACCCTACTCACCTAGTGGTTTGGCTTCACATTGCAGGGGCCCCGGTTCCTTGGATTGCATAGAGGTCACGTGCCCACCCTTTGGCTGCCCTTGGCATGCAACGTACAGAGCATCGGGCTCATCAGTGGGGATATCACCAGGCTCTGGGGGTGCAAATCTGCAGAGGGTACAGGGGAGCAGGCACTGTGGCTCTCACCAGTTAACAACTCCTAGAGAGCATACTGGGGGGTAGGGGCAAGGCATAAATACTGTGGCTTGCATTGCCCACTATTCACTTGCTTTAACATGGCCCCTGCCAGTCTCAGCCCTTCTGATGTCCCATCCCAGTCTCAGCAAGTCTATATCACTTACCTGCTACAGACAGGCAGATGCTGCTCAGCAACAGAACTGACAGGATGACTTCCCCGGGCTTTCTGACAATGGTGACAGAGTGAATAGTTCTCAAACCACTCAGAGTTCGGATCCAACTCTGCTGAGCCTGCCCCACAAGCCCGACATACCCGACATGTCTAGAGGAAGGAAGCAGCCAAAACAGGCACTAGTCAAATCCACAGTGAAGACGAAGGAGTAGATGTGACTGGTAACCACAGGGGAACTCTAGGGATGCTGAAGGAGGCAGCGTCAGAAGACACTCACCTTACACTTCCAAGAGTGAGCAGGTAGTTCCTCTATGGGTGGTTTTAAGCAGAAGGTATGATATCCTTTGTCACACGTCTCACAGACTAACATCTTAGAGTCATTCCCAGGTTTCCTGTATGGGCACAGGGCACATCACAGATCCCTCCTAGCCTCATTTTCTGCCCTCACCTGTGAGTTCCCTAGTTACCTTCCTGCCCTCCTTTTTTAAAATTTATTTTTTTTTGTCTTTTTGAGACAGGGTCTCCCTGTAGCACGAGCTGGCCTGGAACTCACTATGTAGACCAGGCTGGCTTTGAATTTTATTATTTTTTATTTTATGTGCATGAGTGTATTGCCTGCATGTACGTAAGCGCACCCGTGTCATGCAATGCCTGGAAGTTGGAAGAAGGCATCGGATCCCCTGGAACTGGAGTCACGGAAGGTTGGTAGCTGCCATGTGAGTGCTGGGAACCGAACCCTGGTCCTCTGTAACAGCAGCCAGGGTTTTTAATTGCTGAATCAACTCTGTGGCTCCCCCTGCCCTCCTATTCTTACCTGCAGGCTTGGCACACTTTGCATTCAGGGCACTGCCAGCCAGCACGCTTTCGGGCAGTCAGAGCAGTGTCCAGACAGGCTCCATGATAGTGATGTCCACAGCTGGTACAGAAGAACAGGTCACACAACTCCCCTGGTCCCTCACATACTGCACAATGAGCCTCCTCTGTAGTGGAAGAAAGAGATAGCACAGATTAGCTATAGAATCCTCCCACAACTCAGCGCAGTGGTGTACCGCCAGTAACAAATAGTTACCGAGTACCTGACCAGTACATGTCACGTACTAATTCTAGACATATTAGATACCACCGTAAATACAGGTAAAGCCCCTGTGCTCATAAATGTCACATCTATTTTAGTGAGACAGAAAGAATGACACCACATAATTTTAGACTTAAGGAACACTTTGCAGAGTACCAAAATCCAAGTCACACTTGGCCCCTCATGTGCCCTATATCCAAAGGACAGAATTTTCTCACCCAAATGTGCAGCCCCCTCACTGTGCTCTGGGCATAGCAGCCGCAGTGTTTTCATGGATAAGAAGGAACCACTGGCAGTGGCGCAGGGGAAGTGGTAAAGCCGTGGACATCCTGGTGAGCGGCAAGGAATGGAGGCACCAAGCCTGGTGCAGTGGGAGCAGCGCTGTAAGGATGGGGACAAAGCTTCAGTGCCAGCCAGCTTCCTCCAAAGAAACAGTTTAGCCACTAGCCCTTCCCTAGTATGGCTCCTGTCCTTCCCAGTCAGTCTGCCTGGACCCTCAGATGCCCACCAGTCCTGCCTTCACCTGTGCAATCACCTGGTCTCAGTCCTACCTGTGAGATCCCTGAGAAGATGGCCTTGTCCACACCACATAGTTCTGGGCCCTCCTGCCCCCATACACCTGCTGACCACGCAGCACACCAATGATGTGCCCAACAGTGCCCTTTATAGGTGGGAAGAGGTAAACAGAGAGGAGTTAACACAGTGACCACTGGCTCAGGACCACCCAGGCACCAACCCATTTCCTAACCCATTTCTCTTCACTTACCTCCAGGTTCTCCTAGGTGGGCAGGTGTAAGGCCCTCAGGGAAACCAATTTGTGATAGGTCCTCACTGGACAGCACAGCCTCGCTGGGCCCCGGGTTTCCCCCAGATGATACCACTGGAGACCCAGGCCAGTCAAATGGCAACTCAAAGCGTCGTAGCTCCCGCTGCCCATGCAGACTGGGTTCCCCACAGTTACAGAGAGCACAACGCCGTGCTGGACCCCTACTATGGACATACAAGCATTAGCACCATGCCAAGCCCCTGACAACCCCATGATACGATACACTATGAGTCCCACTCATTTTCCTAAACCCTCTGCCCTGAAACCCTAATACTCTAATCAAATCCTCATGTGCCTTTATACTCCTGTTTTCCCCCAAGTTACCTGAAGTCCTGGGGAGGCTCCTGAATCCTGGGACTCCCAGAACTGGGGACAGAGACCTCCCCAACATGTGGGTTAGGAAGGTCTGGCTCAGTGGCACCTGGCTCCTCAGAGGCTGCAGGTCCATCAGCTGAATGAACAGACAAAGCAACACACATCAGTCTGACTTAATAATACATTCATTCATCAGACACACGTGAGATTATCCAAAACTCTCAGTGGTTCATAGAGATGGCATTTCAACTTTTGCCTTAAAGAACAAAGTTATTCAATTACCTGTCTTTACATAGACTGAGCTGGTCCTTGTGCTAGGAACAAAAATATAAGGCTGTGCACAAGAAGTGAAAAGCTGTCAGCAAACCCAGGATTTGTTCTACTCACCTGCCGGTTCTGAATCTTTATCTTCACCAGGCGGCTTCTGGCTGTCCATCCCTCTCTCCGACTGGGCAGGGCCCTCTCGGGGAGACCTGTTGGTGCCAAGAGATAGCTGTATGTCCAGTAAGCGTCCCCAAGGAGTTCTTTTCCCATAATAAGATGTCAGTGAAAGGTACCCTGACCCTTTAGACAGAGACAAGCCTTATCTACAAATACTACCTTAATGACAAGGAAAATCATTCTCCTTAGCCCTCACTGTACTGCCCACTTCTTTCCCAAACATTGACCTCTCCTCCCATTCTGGATTCTCAGGGCATCTATTCCACTTCCCCACCTCCACCCTGCTCCGTAACAGCTTCCAGGGCAATCGCATCCAACTAGAAACACACCCAGTTACATCTAGTGCTGTCCTTTGCCTCATCTTAAAATCCTGGTCCCTAATCTTACCCTAGCCTTTATCCTCAAGTCTCAGGTGAGCTACCACCCTACAGAACTAAAAGTGGCAACCCAGGGACAATCATGGCCCAAGAAGTCTTAGTCAAGCCAAAATTCCTCTGTGAAGAGGCAGAGTCCTAGGTTCTTGCAACAGCTTAAAGACAATACTGGAACTAAAGCTAGTTATGACTGGATCTCCCCCGCTTCCATTGGTTCCAACCAGGACATCCCAAATACAACAGAAGAAACCCTAACTGCCACAAATGAAGTTCAGGATCACCACTGGCCCCTGCCTTAAATGAGCCCTGGGTCTCACCCAGCATGAAGGCCTCTCGGGTCGTTGCCCTTAGCAATGCCAACTGCCCTTCTTCCTTAGATGCTCCTAGTAGTTAACAGAAGTGGGCCTAAAGTGTTACTGAGCATGTGTAGCCAGGCATGAGGCTAAGCATGCTGGGAGTTGTAGTCTCAGGAAGCACATTGCCTTTTGGAGGAGGTCTAAATGGGGCAGTATATAACAGAGCAAAACAGTTTCCTTCCTCTTCAGTCAAGCAGGGTTTCCAAACACCTGGGGGGGGGGGCAAGTTAACGGTCCCCTCTCCCCCTTCTAAGCTAGTCTAGCCTATACCAAAACCAAATGAAATACACAAAGACTACATCTGAAAAACTTAAGATTCACACTCCTCAACCTCTAAGGCAGCACACAAACTAAGCATAGTATACTAAGAGAAGTAAAGAATACGAATTACAAGATGCCAGGCTTGGTAAGGCATGCCTATAACACCAATACTTGGGAAGCAGAGGCAAGAGAATAAATGCAAGTTTGAGGTCAGCCTGACAAGAGTTCAGGCCAGTCAGGGCTATATAATGAAGTCTGTTTAAACAAACAAAAAAGAATTACCATGACTATGGGTAAGAAAATAACCCTACAGAAAAGGCAAAAGGATAAAGACCTACAACCATTAGTGAGAATGGTAGGCCTGTCTCTTAACCAGAGAAAGTACAGTGCTCCTAGGTGATGGTGGGGTTAGGGGAATTCCTGAAAAAGAACTGTAAATATAAAAGTTGGAGGAATTCAGCTCCCATCTTTTTCACTCTTGTTTAACCAGAGTGATCACATCAACCTGAGTACAGATGATCCTGCCGTCTAAAACTGGAAGGTAAGTATCCCAGTCAATTACTTGGGGTTGAATAACAAGGGAAACCCTCAAAGTGCCCAAGATCAGTAAAGCAATTCCCCAGCCACCACAGTACCAGTTTTCCTTCCCCAAGCTCCCAATTTCATTTCCAGATGTTAGCAATGCCCCTCCTGAGCCATGTCACAGTAAAGGACACTACTTTACCTTTCCCCTAACACTTAGAATATGCTAGCTAAGGAACACCAGACCATCTATCATCTGATACCTGTCACCTCTATTCAAAGTCATCTCTTTCCCAAACTGACACAACCACCAGTTGAAAGGAAAGCAGAGTGGACTATCTGGCCAACTCAGGAAAAAAAAAAAAAACCTGCTCTGGAACTTCAAGAGACCCTGAAAAGTCACCTGTGGGAAGTGGGAGTTGGAGGTCAGGCCCCTCTTCCTATTTAGTTACTCAAGACCTGGCCACACCCAGTAGGTCCAAGGGGGGCTTCCAAGTTTTCTAAATGTTTGTATCTTACTATATCTTACTACCGCAAAGATCAGTCACCAACTTTGCTGAGTTGAGCCTTAGCAAGGCACAAGCAGCAACAAATAAAAAGCGACAGTGATAATACAGTGGGTAGGAGGACTGTCTCACACAAGGCCAGAGGGATACATTCCTCTACCCTCCCCCGAATTCAGCCCTCTAAGGCTGGGAAAGCTAGCTCTGCTCCAGAAGGTACAGAAACTACCTTCTTCATCCAGCCTTGAGGAACAGAGTAGCAACATCCTCTAAAGTCAGAGTCCCATTCATGAGGCCATGAAAGATGAAAGATTAAGAAGCAAAGTGCAAACTGTCCTTCTCCTGTACCATAAAGAATCTAGGGACATCTCTAGGAGGCCTGAAACCCTAGCCCCTGAGTACTCAAGCCTGTAGTCCAGTCTCTGTACCCAAATACTGAGGCCGACAGCAATCAAGTCCCTGAAGGCTTTTAAGCAAATAAAAGCAAAGGTTCCCCCAACTTCATCATTCACAGTTAGTAAACACAGACACACATATATCCCAAGGAGTGTCGTTTAGTTCCCCCCCACCCCCCAACCCCTGGATCTAAACTAGGATAGTACCTGGCCAGGCTTCTTCTCATACAGGGAGAAAAACTGTGCTGACACCCCTTAGTCTTATACCTAAAAGGCCCCCAAAAAAGCAAGAAAGGAGGCAGGGATTTAGTCCAACCCACTCTCCTTCCTGTCTTCATCCTAGACCAATGGCTTTCACTCCATTTTCTCTTCAACAGAGGAAATGGAAGCTCTGAGAGCTGAAAGGCTGGAGCAGGCCCTTGAGTGCACAGCTCTTTAGTGGGACTCAGGACTTCCTGGTTCCCAGCTAAAGAATCAAACCACACCTCCTCCACCCCCATTTTGGGTCAGCCCTCTAGGAAGGATCCAAGTGGCAACACAGTCCCTGGGTCAGCCTGGGGTGGGGGGCAGCCATAGCTAACAAGGTGCAGTCCCATCTAAGGAAGTTGTCTGAGAACAGACAACAGAAAGGCTCCTCCAGAGAAGGCAGAAACAGAAGCAGAGATGACAGTTCACCGTACTCCACCACTCCTGTGCCACTTCTTAGAAATCTTTAAAGTGCAAAACCCTTACTTTCCCCTTTCTGAGACTACACTCAAAAGGATCTAGCAAGTGTATTTTGGAGGGTATGGAATGAGGGAACAAAATGCAATAGCCAAATCCCTGCTGGGCAGCATGACAGGTGTGAGAGAGGCTGTCCCAGCCCAGGGCCCAGAGGCTGAGGCGGGAGGTTCATGCTGCACCCTTCCTGCACGCACTTACACACCCCTTCTCTCCAGCACCTCCTACCAGGGCTAGAAACCCCAGTTTCCAACAGAAAAGAGCTCAATTCAAGGTATTTCTCCTCCAAAGAGGTGCAGGCCACCCTATCCTGCAGGGCAGGGACACCATCAGAGGACTAGTTAACATTCCACAGCCAGAAAAGCATTGTGGAGGTCTGGCAGGGGCTTCCACGATTGGCCAGGGACTCATGGGCAGCTAGCTCTCCACTTTAGGCCCAGAGAAAGCAGGAGACAAAAGCCATTTTTTGCAGCCCACATTCGTAGAGAACAAATCTCAACGGCCTCTCCTGTAATCCCCTGGAGATTATGTCCATCCCGAGAGGAGGGGAGGCAAAACAGGCTAAGACTCCGCTAGGCCTTGCTGGGGTCACTTTGCAGGTAGGGGTAACTTAAAGTTGAACAGCAGGGCCAGAGCTGCCCCAGCCCCACCTCCTTCTTGCCCCAGCCACCCCCTTCATCACACCAGTTTCCACCCACCCTCCCCTTTGCCCAGAGAAAGAAGGCCTGGGGAAGGGCCCAGGGCTCCTTGAGTTTCCCACAGACTGCTTTGGGTGCACGGCTGGGTAGGAACAACCTTAAAGTCCAACCTGGCAGTAAGTCTGACCTGGCAGTGACACCTCACCCCCCCCAACCCAAGTTGTTCAGTCTCAAGGAACCTGGGGGGGGGGGGGGCAGGACAGCAGCCTGGAATCGGTGCTGGCGATCTGGGCCTGAGTCCTAGTTTGGTCGAACTCTCCCAACACAAAAATAAACAGGCAGAGAGGGCTATCTGGACACGTTCCCAAACTCCTGTGGTTCCCTGAACCCCCAATCTTTAGGGAGGCACACCCCAAGAAACCAGGCCTCAGTTCTGCCTTGGCGACCGGCTCAAGTTCCCTTGACAGACCCTGCCAAAGAAACCCTGCACAGCTCTGGCACCCCCTTCTCCAACCTAAAGGTCAGCACCGGCCAAGATAGTCCATCTGGCTGTGCCCCCAGTCCAACCCTTTCTGGGCCCAGGCCGGGCGGACTTCACTCACCTCTTCACAGGGCGATCCAGAAATCTTCATCCGAGAACATGGCCAGAGCCCGGGCCGCTCCCCGACCTCCAACCGCCAGAGCGATCACAGCCGCCCCCCACACGGGGGGGCTTAGGGGGGCCAAGAACGGTAAATCCAGGTCGGAGTGGCCACCCTTCGGCCCGAAAAACGCCAGAAGCCAAAAGGGGTTCTCTGCCTCGGGGTCCAGCAGTCTAGGTTTCCACGGACAGCCCCAGGGCGGCGAATCCCGAGCGGACACAAAGAGAGCACCGGTGGCTTTGATCTCGGGCGAGCAGGCTCCGCATCCGCGTCGCCGGGCGGCCTCTCAGTCCCAGGGCCCGGCCAGCGCCCCGGCCGCCCGCGCCGGGCTCGGGCGGAACGTCGAGGCTCTCCAGATGGAACGTCGAGGCGCCTCCCCGGCAGCCCGGAAGGAATGCCGCGGCGCCGCGCGCCGGGCCCGGATGGAACGGGAGCCCCTCGCAGGCGCCGAGCCCCTCTCCCCGCCCGGCCGGCGCCCCGGGGCCGCGCGAGCTACGGCGACGCGGAGCCGGCGGGGCCGCGGGGCCGAGCCTGACACACACCCAGCGCCGGGCTCCTCGACCCCGAGCGTTCCCCCTCGGCGGCTTCGCGCCCCCCACCTTCTGCTCCCCCCGGGGAAGGGAGGAGGGTTGGTGGGCGAGGAAGAGGAAGGGGCGGGCGGTGCGAGCCCTCTGCCCGCTCCCCTCCGGCCGCTCCAGGCCCAGCGCTCGCCTCCCTTCCCCTCTGGCCTGGGAGCTGCCCCGCCCCCGGCCCGGCCGGCTGTGGTCCGCGGCCCCCCTAGACCCCCGGCAGGCTGTGATGGCGGGGGGCCTAGAGGTGCATGGCCCAACCCCGGCTCCCGGCGCCGGGGGGTCAGGAAACTGAGCGGAAAGTGGGGAACGAGGCAGCCATTTGCAACCGGAGAGGAAAGTAGTGCAGCGCGGCGCCGCTCCGCCTCCCCCCTCCGCCTCCTGCTCGGCCGGTAGGGTGGTTCCTGCGAAGGGGCTGTTTCCCGGCCAGAGAGCCGGGCAGCGGTCGTGGAAATCCGGAAAGCTTCCGGCGCGAGATCCGGAGGGGCCCTTTTGCCGGGGGAAGCCCACTCGAGAAGGGGAGAAAGGAGAAGATGAGGCCCTATTTTGTGTTGGAGCGGGGCGGCGGAGGGAGACAGCCCTCTTGGAGGAAAGGCTGTGACTTTGCAGTTCTACGCACACGCTCCGGGATCCCTCCGCCGCAGGTTAACCCCGACTGCGCCGAGCCGGCAGCCTGGCAGACACGTGGGAATGAAGCCCCCTTCCTCTTCGCCCCGGCCCTGGAACTGCCTCTTTTACCTCCCGGGCGGTGAAACCAGGATTCTGGCCATTTTCTAATGCTCTTCTCCTTTAGTCACTGGTCCTTGCAACTCCTTGCCTTGACTAGAGACAATCTTTGCCGAGAGTGGGATGGAGGAAGAGCCTGGAGATTGGCCGCTGCTCTGCATCCTGGGAACTGGAGTCCACAAATGGAGAAAGTGAGGCACGGCGCTTGGCGCTGCAAAGGGTGGGCTCTTGCCACGTTCGGGAGCCGGAAGAAAATTGGACGAGCACCTAGTCTTCTTGCAGAAGGACTGTAGGTGCCCTCACAATCACCACACACACTACCTCGCCCCCCAAAACGTCAATCCAGAGCTCCCCTTCCGTTGCAGAGTGCCCCCCACCCCACATCTAGTTTTTCCGAAATCTTCAGAAACTGTGTTCTTTCCTTTTCAACGAAGGTAAGTACCCTGCAACTTGGTCAGAATACTATTAATCTGGACAAGACTCTAGGAACCCCGCCCCAGGTCTGGATGAGAGGAAGAATAGAATGCCCCTTCTGCATGAACTGTATACAAATTAACTATGTGCTTGATACTTTATATCCACTTAGTTATTCCTTACCAGCACTGTGGAATTATCTCCATATTACAGGTGAAAAGATTGAGGCTAAAATTGAGAAAATTGTCGAAGGAATCACACCAAGTGAGAAGTTAATCCATGATTCAAACCAAAAGCAACATTTTCCCCTGGGTTTAAAAAAAAGATTTAATAGGCCTTCAAGAAGGCTCAGCAGGTACAAGGGGCTTATGGCCGAACTTGAAGCCCTGACTTTGATCCTGGGGCCCCACAAGGGGAAGGAGAGACCCGACTTAGCAGGTTGTCCTGATCTCCACATGTCTATGTTTCAATGTGCACAAATACAATAAATAAATGCAATAAAAAAAGATTTGAAAGTGGAAAGAGGCAGGCGAATTAGGTCTGGGGCTACTTTTGTGGGAAAAGATACAGTAAGATTCTCATGGAATTGTGCTATATCCGAATATGGCCATTAGCAACATGTAGCTATTGAGCACCTTTAAATTTAGGTGGTGAAACTCAGTAACTTTAAATGGTAACTATGTTAAACTTACATAGCTATATATGACTTGCACTTCCATGTTGGACAGTGCAGATTGGGCCATAGTCATAGATAGGAGAGGTAAGTACTAGCATGTTCTCTAGCTATCTATCCATACATTGGTATCATGTTTTCTTTGATCATTCTTAAGCCTATGTCAGCAAAAAGAAAAAAAGAAACTTCAGTAGTGACCCCACAGCCGTCCCAGCTGTAGTAGAGCAAGTTTAACTAGAAGTTGAAAAGTGGAAGGCAAGTCCCTGCTGTGCGTACCCAGACTACACCAGAAGTAATGACTGATAGCCTCCATTTCCCAAGGGCTCACCATCTGTGATGAACTATCCTAAATATGTACATTACTTCACTTCTCTCCCCCCTTCAGAGTCCACTGAGGCATTTTATTTATATGTATGTTTTACGTCACTAGAAAAAGAATCCCTGGACTTTCTCTCCTGTCCTTCTTCATAGTCCATGAGGCCAGCTGAGGACTGGACAGTCCTCCTGCCACTGAGGGTGGCAGTGCAACGAAACAAAACTGACAGGATGGGAGCAGATCATTCTGCAACTTTTTAGGTCTTTGAGCTGCACATCACATCTGGAGCTGATCACACCACACTCATTTAACCTGCCTGTGACGTTCACAGTTTTCCCAGCTCTGTGATCATCAATGATTTCAAATTCGACACTGTAACCATGCTTCATCATCAGTCAGGAGGCAAACAATGACTTTGGAGCACGGCCTGATGAGTATCTGGCGTTTGCCTCTCTTCTTAGTGTTGATGTTGATGCTCTTCAGAGCATCAGCCAGAACATCCATGCGCACCATGATGACAGGGCAGAAAGATGGTGGAAAGAGCCTCTCTCCTTTTTTGAAGACAGGGTCTCATTATGTAGCCCTGGCTGACCTGGAACTTACTATGTAGACCAGGCTGGCCTCAAATTTAGAGCTCCACCTACCTCTGCTTCCTGGGTGCTGGAATTAAAGGCTTACACCACCACACCAGGCCCCTCATTTCTCACTTTAATCTTCTGAATCACTTTTTAAGATTTTTCACATTTATATGTATTTATGGGTATGGGTGTGGATGTGGGTATACATGTGCCACAACATGCAAGTAGAGTCAGAGAACAACTTGCCAGCGTCAGTTCTCTCCTTCCATCATGTGGGACCCAGGGATCAAATTCAGATAATCAGGTTTGGAGGCAAGTACCGTTACCCGCTGAGTCATCTCAACAGCCCCAGACACTATTTTTTTTAAGGTATTTTTATTTTATGAGTGTTTTGCCTGCATTTTTCTAAGTGTACCCATGCCTGGAATGCCCCCAGAGGCCAGAAGCTATTGGATCCCCTGGAACTGGAGTTATGAATGGTTGTTAGCTGCCTTGTGAACGCTGGGTTTAGAACCCAGGTCCTATTCAAGAGCAGCCAGTGCTCTTAACCACTGAGCCATCTCTCCAGCCACCAGCCCCCAGCCTTTTTTTTTGGTCTGAGACAAGGTCTCCTTGTAGCCCCAGCTGGCCTGGATTCGCTAATAATGGAGACCAGGCTGGCCTGGAACTCACAGAGGTCCACCTGCCTCTGCCTCCCAAGTGCTGGGATTAAAGGCGTGCGCCATCACACCCAGCTTAGACTTCTTTTTTGATTTGAGGTCTTGAGAGAAGCATGGCAACATAAGCCTGTAATTCTAGCACTTGGGATGTGCAGATAGGAAGATCAGGACATGAGTCACCCTCTGAGCTGAGATGGCTCTCAAGTCACTTGCCTGAGAACCTGAGTTTGATTCCCAGGACCCACAGAGTAGAAGGGGAGAATCAACTCCTGAAAGTTGTCCTCTACACCACACTATGGCACACATACATGCATGTACACTTATAAGTAAATGTAAAAAATTTTAAGTCTTTGTCGGCTGCAGAGTTTGAGGCCAGCCTGAGCTTACGTGAGACCCTGTCAAAATAAACTTAAAAAGCAAAAACAGCTGGGCATGGTGGCCCACGCCTTTAATCCCAGCAGTCGGGAGGCAGAGGCAGGAGGATCCTCTGTGAGTTCAAGGCCAGCCTGGTCTAAAGAGTGAGTTCCAGGCAGCTAGAGCTACAGGGAGACCCTGTCTCAAAGACCAAAAAAAAAAGCAAAAACAAAACCCACTAGCTTGATGCACTGGTCTGTAATCCCAGCTATTGGGGAGGCTAAAGCACAAATGGCAAATTCAAGGCTTGCCTGGACAATTTAATGAGACCCTATCTCAAAGAAAATTTAAAAAGAACTAGAGGAGTGGTGAGATGGCTTAGCAGGTAAAAGTGCTTGCTGACAAGCCTGACTATGTGTGTTTGACTCCTCAGGACCCACATGGTAGAGAATCGACTTCTGCCAAGTTGTCCTCTGACCTCCATTCACATGCTGTGGCACAGACGCATGCCTTCACACACACAATAAACAAAACTTAAAAAATACAATTTAAAAAAAAGCGTCAGGTGTAGTGGTGCATGCCTTTAATCCCAGCAGTGGGGAGGCAGAGCCAGGCAGATGTCTGTGAGTTCAAGACTAGCCTGGTCTACATAGAGTTCCAGGCCAGTCAGGGCTACAGGGAGACCCCGTCTCAAAAACACCAAAAAAAAAAAAAAAAAAAAGACCGGGGGCAGGCCATAGGTGTAGGGAGGTAGAGGCAGGTATCTCTGTGAATTCAAGGCCAGCCTGGTCTAAAAAAAGAAAAAAAAAGGACTGGAGATAGAACTCAATGGTAGAACACAGCATGTGCCTAGGATGTGTGGGGTCTTGATAGTGTCCAGGCTGGTCTCAAGCCTCAGCCTCCAAAATGCTGGGATTACAGGTGTGCACCACCACAGCCAGTTTCTGATTGAACCATACTTCACAAATGAGGAACTTAGGCTGACTGGGTACTTCAGCCTCCCCAGATTGGCAGAAGAGGTCTTCGTCCTCTATTATGATACGGCACTTCTTAGGTAACCGTCACAGTTCCTTTGAGGATATTGGGCTGCTTAGGCTGTCAGGCTAAGGGGGTGGTGAGTAGTCAAGAAAAGTAGAGGCAGGGGCTGGAGAGACGGCTCAGCAGTTTTTACTGCTCCTACAGAGAACCCATTGTTGGGTGACTCACAACCACCTGTTAACTCCAGTTCAGATCAGACACCCTCTTCTGGCCTTAACAGGCTCCTGCACACATGGGCTACACATACACTCCTGCAAGCTAACACACATACACATAATCTTTTTAAAATCCTTTTTTGTTATTTTTATGTGTACAGCCTACATGCATGTGAATGCACTGTGTGATGCAGTGCCTGAGGAGGTCAGAAGAGAGCATCAGATACCCTGGAACTGGAGTTATGGACTGTTAGCTGCCATGTGGGTGCTGTGATTCAAACCCGGGTCTCTGCAAGAGCAGGCAGTGCTCGTAACTGCTGAGCCCCAATAAATCTGTCTTTAAAAAACAGAATCAAAAGTAAAGACGCTGAGCCCCAATAACTCAAATATCTCATCCTGCTGAGAAAGGGCAGATACAATGAGAAAGGGCAGATACAAAAGTCTTTTTGACACCTAAGAAACAGCACAGGGGCTAGAGAAATGGCTCAGTGGTTAAGGGTGCTTGCTGCTCTTCCAGAGGGCTTGTTTGGTTCCTAGCACCCACACTGGATGTCTCACAACAAAAAGATAACCAAATTGATGAAAGGAGAAAAGAAAACCCTATTATAGTGAAAGGGACCAGGGACATGAGGGTAGCAAGACTAATATCCATTAAGGACATTATTTACTTTAATCAGCTTTCTTGGGAAACCAAAAATCTTCACAGCACTTCTAGTCCCTTCCTCCCCACTCCTTGATGGCATTCATTAGGAGTGAGGGGCGCCAGGTCAGTATGTGCCAGCTGGCCACTAGGGGGTAGTATTTCTTTAGTTAAGGGGCTTTTCAGGGCTTACAAACTTAGATGGGTGGGGCAGTCAACAGGACTTGGTGCTGTAAAGGAAGAACCAGCAAAATAAAAAGATGAAAAAGGCAAGTAGTTGGGCCGGGCGTGGTGGCACACGCACCTTTAATCCCAGCACTCAGGAGGAAGAGGCAGGCGGATCTCTGTGAGTTCAAGGCCAGCCTGGTCTACATAGTGAGTTCTAGGCCAGCTGGGGTTACAAGGAGACCCTGTCTCAAAAAAAAAAGGCAAGTAGTTAAGTCTTAAGGTAATGGTCCCTAGTAACTAAGGAGTAAGGACAGTAATGAGTATGATGAAAGATCAAAGCCATCACTCTTTGGAAAAGGAGGTGTTGGCCCTCAGTGTTCCCCAGATTTATAGACGTCAACAACAAAACATTTTTTAGTTTATTTGCAAATATACATTGTCACCCCAAGAGCCAGCTCTACTTTAGAACTCCCAGCCCTCCTTACCCAATCAATACAGAAAACCTATACAGGAGGGTGGGTCCTGGATAAATAATGCCCCGGACTCATACCCTAACCCTGCAGATTGTAACAGTTCATTTAGAAAAACAAGGAGCTAGAAGCCAGTGTCCAAGAGACATCTTTGCCCCTTTGTAAACATTGACAACCAGGCTACAGGAGCCTGGGAAGAGTGTGCAAAGATGAGGATACCACACTGTGTGCCAGAGGGCCAGTGACACAGTTGGCAACCATACCCATTAAGTCCTGAGGTCTGCCCCCCATTGGAGGTTAGCAGGCACCTGCAGCAGAAACAAGGCTGTGAGGGCTCACATGAGACAGCATCGACGCTCTTGCCCATAGGAATTCTCCACACGAGCAATCTCCTGGATGACTTTGGTGAAGATGCCTTGGGCTAGCTATAAGGAATAGGCAGATTCATAGGTAAAATTAGTTCGGTACCAGTACTACCCAGCTCTGAGATAGAAATGTCACCCCCTCACCATCCCCTCCACCAAGCAGTGTGTAGGGAAGACATTGCTGATACCCCTGTGACCAAGTTGAGTCTGCAGTCCCAGTACCTGATTCTCTCGAGCAGATGACTCCATGAACGTCGCACCCCAGGACTCTGCTAACTTCTTTCCTTCAATTGCCTGCACCTCTCTGGAAGCAAATTTGAACCATACCGATGGGGGGATTGCAATGTCTGTAAGTTCTCTGCAAAATCTTTAGGATCTAGACTTCCTTTAATGTTTATAACCTCTCTAAGGTTTGACAGAAGAGAAAATAATATGTAAACAAAGGCTCATAGGTGAATCTAGGACTGAAGCTTGTAGTATACAATTATGGCTTTATGACAGAAGATAAACTAAAAATTAAAAGGGGTGAAATGGCTATGCATGGTGACTCATGCCTGTAATCTCAACTAGCACTGCTAGGAAGACTGAGGCAAGAGGATGAGGAGTTCAAGGACAGCCTGGATTATATGGTAGAGATCCTATCAGAAAATCAAGAGGCAATATTACTTGAGTCAAGTAGCAGAGCCAGGTCTAGCAGCTTGACTTGATTCCTAGTCCAGCTCACTTTCCTTTGCCTTGAGCAGCAGAGATTTACACACCTGTCTGGAGACAGATCTGCCTTGTTCCCCACTAGCACCACCGGCAGCCTGTGAGGAGAACAGATATTATATGATTAGAAAATCCTCTTCCTTTCTCCATGGACCCCAACTACCTTCATATCAAGATTAGATAATTCTAGCCAGGCATGCTAGTGTACACCTTTAGTCCCATCCCAGCACAAGCGAGACAGAGGGAGAGGCAGGTGGATCTCTGTGAGTTCAAGGCAGACCTGGTCTACATAGTGAGTTCCAGGCCAGCTGGAACTAGAGGGAAACACTGTCTCAAAAAAAGACAAAAACAAAAGATAATTCTCCAATCAAGCCAGGCATCTCAGTCCAGACTCTTCTCTAACAAAGAATTCACCCTTTTGCTGTTGTCCACACCCTTGTGCTGACAGGTTCTCTATTCTCCAGAGCCACTTACCGGGTTTTACCATGGCATTCATGCAGCTTTTGGTATAGACTCTGGATGACTCGGAAGCTTCAAATACAAGAAATAGAGCTATAAGCTTAGTTCTAGGATAATTTTTGGTTCCTGCCAAGCCTGACTCAAGATCTTAATCACTTACCTATGAAGAGAGGTGACAGAATACACAAGCACATAACCGTGGACCCCAATGATGAATGAATAGGGCAGAATGCTGTACTCATCCTGACAAGAAACAGAAACATCAGTACCTAGAGCCCCACTATTCAGATAGCTTAAGTTGGTAGGATAGCATTTCAGGCGACCCTCCCTGGGGCATTGCTTGCTCCTGACTCTTCTACTGAACAAGTATTCATGAAGGAGCTCCAGTGAGCCCTGTAGACTATTAATAGCTAAAGTATTTTTCTTTTTTTCTTTTTTTTTTTTTTTTTAATTTGGTCTTTTTGAGACAGAGTCTCCCTGGAGCCCCAGCTGGCCTGGAACTCATTATGTAGACCAGGCTGGCCTTGAACTCACAGAGATCCACCTGCCTCTGCCTCCCTAGTGTTTGGATGGGACTGACGGTGTGGGCAACCATATCCAGCAGTGCTTTTCTTTTAAATACTACTTCCAGCATGAAACACATGGACTACCAGACTTTAAGTCCTGGGGCTAAACTGCAACACTTGGATACCCTACCCCAACTGGTACCTGCCCTGCTGTGTCCACCAGGTGTAGGTGAAACTCATCTTTGCCAAGAGTCACTATCTTGCTGTAAGCTGAAAAGAAAAGAAAACTTGACTGTGAGGTGGTTTATAGGGCCAGTGAAGGGTGTCCCCATACCTTCCTGCCCCTGGGAATGACAAAGATGGACTAGTTCCAGGAAGCTCTCCGAGAAACTGGAGAGACATGCTAGGGTTCTTACTGGCTACATCTATACTATCCTGGACTAGAACGTCGCAAAATCTGTTCTCGAAACACTGTTCTGTGTTTCACCAGAGATGTGATTAGATTTGACGTCTAAATAAATCAGCCCCCTGGCAACAAAGAAATCCCAAATTCTGGAGTTAGGTGAGATAGCCAATAATTCCAGACCCCATCCCCTTCGTCACACTGAAGAAAACTACTCACTATTTTCAACTGTAGGATCGTAGCCTTCCAAGAACTCGCCTTCCACGAATTGATGTGCCAAAGATGTCTTCCCTGTAAGGATCATAGGTGGTTGGAATGCAATCATCATTCCATTCATGGTCACACCTTTTGTCCTTTCGGACTGTGGCCAACGACCAAAGGACTCTCCAGTCAGCACCCAGTGTGTGAGTGACCCCAAGCCGTGACCCTTGGCCGATTGTCATCATCTAAACCGGATCCATTCAGTAGTGCGGCAGGAAGCCTTTCCCTAGCCCACCCTGCCTCACCTGGGGAAGATCCCCAGGATCCAATCCGCCAGCCCAAGGGTACTTGAGCCAGTTTTCCCCACGTAGACCTCCACCGCGCGTTCAAACCCTGACCCAGAGTGACGCAGGGACCACTGGTATGTCCCCAAGTCCACGGTAACGCATCCGCGCTCCCTTCCCGCATCCCTCCTCCCTCCCAAGCTTCGCCGTACTCCCGACCTCTCCCGGCTACCATTCCTCCGGGAGCCGCGTTCCCGCGGCCGCGCGCCTCTTCCGGCCCCTCCCGGCGGTGCGCGGGGCAGGGCGGAGCCTCACCTACGGAGCGGTACCCGAGGATAACCACTTTCCTGTAGCGGACCAGCGGCATGACAGGACGCCGCCCCGGGGCTCGCCGATCCGCGGGCCGAGGGAGCCCGAAGAGGTGCCAGGGTGCGGGCAGCGCCGGAACCGGTGCCGGGAAGGCGCCTGCCGCCAAGCTCCCGGGGGCAAGCTAAAGGAAAACCAAAACAAGCGCCGCGCCCAGACCGGGCCACGTGACCACAACACAGCGGACCGACTAGTGAGGCAGCGGGCGCCGGGGGAACCACCCGGCCTCGCGGCTCCAGGCTCCGCCCCCTAGACGGCGCTCCATTGGTCCATTAGAATAGGGAGGGCGGGGCCCCCGGCAGGAGGGACTGGTGGGCCTCACGTGGAGCGGAGCTCTGGGAGGTGCGCATGCGTAGACCTGAGTCTGTTCATTCATAAAGAAACAGAAAGGAACCCGGGGTCCTAGAGGCACTGGCGCCTCTGCAGCCTAGCTGGAGTGGCTGCAAGGAATCCTGGATGGAAAATACTCGTTGCGAAAATACAAAATGAAAAGGGAAATGCCTGTTGTGGTTGGGTTGGAGTTTCTGATGAGAAGATTCTAGGCCTATGATTTATAAGGTTCCTAGGGTCCTTCAGGCTGGAGGGGGAGGGGAGCCAAAGTTCAGTGTGTTACCCTCTGCCTCCCTTTGGTCTCAGACCTTTTGTTAGCAGTCTTCAAGGATGTAATCACGGAACTATAATTCTTGGGAAAATTGCCTGAATGTGTGACAGTGCATTCTGAAGATTCCTTATAATCATCATAATCAGTGCACTCATTTATTCAACAAGTATTTACTTAGTATTCAAGAGGCTGAGACAGGAAGATGCTATGAGTTCAAAGCCAGTCTGGGCCTGGCGTGGTGGCGCACGCCAGTAGTCCCAGCACTTGGGAGGCAGAGGCAGGTGGATCTCTGTGAGTTCAAGGCCAGCCTGGTCTACATACTGAGTTCCAGGACAGCTGGGGCAGCAGGGAGACTCTGCTTCGAACAAAAAAAACAAACTACACGAGGCTCTCCATTTCAATTACCTGTTTGTGTGCATCTGTCTTCTCTTTGTAAGAGATTAATATCTTAGAAACAAGGACTCACTTTTTCTCACCTGCTACGATCTCTCTGATATTATCACTGTGCCCTGCACACACCCAAGATCTAATCCCAGGTCTTGGGAGGTGAAGACAGGAAGATCAGGAGTTCAAACTCAGTATGGTCTAGGGTACATATAGTGAGTTTGAGCCTGGAAGATCTTGTCACCAAAAGAAAAGATATTGAGCATATTCTACCCGTTATAGATCTGACACTACCCCAGCTTTGCTGATGAACATGACAGACAAGGTCTCCTTCAAAGTTTAAATTTATTCACAGCCAAAATTTAAAAAGATGATTAGAGAGCCGGCTGTGGTGGTGCACACTTTTAGTCCCAGCATTCCTGAGGCAGAGGCAGGGGGATCTCTGAGTTCAAGGCCAGCCTGGTCTACATTGTGAGTTCCAGGTCAGCTGAGGCTACAGGGAGACCCTGTCTCAAAAAAAAAAAAAAAAAAAAGATGATTATAGAGCATGAGGGATGTGACTTAATGGCTTCATTCCTTGGTGGACTCATAGCAAGTCCACCACGTGGGGGGAGGGGTTGTCCCTGAGGCTGAGGCAGCAGCTCACCCTGGTCCCTTCCTGTATTCCTGTCTTTTTCTGTTTCCTGTCGACTGTGAAGAAGTTCCTCTGTCACATCTCTGTGAATGATACTGCATCTCATTCTGGGCACAGAAACATAGAGCCTATAAAACTGTGAGCCAAAGGCAGGGCATGGTGGTGCATGCCTTTAATCCCAGCCCTGGGGAGGCAGAGGCAGGTGGATCTCTGAGTTCAAGGCCAGCCTGATCTACAAATTGAGTTCCAGGCCAGCTGGGGCTACAGGGAGACCCTGTCTCAAAAAGACCACAAAAACAAAACAAAAACGAACAACTATGAGCTAAAATGAACCTTTCTTCTAATTGTTTTTCTCAGGTAGTTCGTCAAAGAGATACAAAATCCTGTCTAATACACTGCTTCATAGGGCTTCTTGTTTTTTTTATTTTATTTTAGGTGTATGAGTGTTTTGCTTGAATACCTGTAAGTGCACCATGTGTGTGCAAAGCCCATGGGGGCCAGAAGAGGGGATCAGATCCCCTGGATTTACTATGTGGATGCTGAAAACCAAACCCCAGTCTTTTGCAAGAGCAACCAATGCTCTTTTTAAAAAATATATATTTTATTATTTTTGTTATTTTATGTGTTTGAGTGTATTGCCTCCATACATGTGAGTGCATCCGTGCCCTGCAATGCCGAGGAGGTCAGAAGAGGGTTTCGTCTTCCCCTGGAACTGGAGTTAAGGACAGTTCATAGCTGCCATGTGGGTGCTGGGAGTCGAACCTGGTCCTCTGCAAGAGCAGTCAGTGCTCTTAACCACTGAGCCATCTCTCCAGCCCTGCAACCAGGGCTCTTAACCCTTGAACCGTCTCTCTGGCCATGGCTGTTTGGATTTTGACAGTTAAGGGTTCATCTCCTAACTGATGTATAACAAACATAATAATAAGCATCAACACTTAGTGACTTAAACTACTCATCTCAGGGATCTGTGGGTTGAATTGGCCATTCTTTTGTTGCCTGTCCTGTATTTGCTCATGTGGCTGAAGTTCCACTGGAAATGGAAGGTCTAGGAAGACCTTACACATCTGGGCCTGAGTGCTGGCTACTAGCTGATTTGTCATGTTCCCCCACATAAATGTCTTTCATGACTGAGTGATCCAGCCTGAGCTGCCCTACATGGCCTTTGGGGCTTTAAGCTCTAGAACCCATCCAACAGCATGACTTCTTCCACATGTTATTAGTCTGAGCAAGTCACAAATCTAGCTCAGATTCAAAGCATGACAAAATTGTATTTCTTCATAAGAACTGCAGCCTGTTATGGCTATTTTTCAACTTAGCACAGGCTATCTCTCTGTTGATTATGACAAGCTGAACTTCTCCCTTACCTAAACCCTTCCCCAGTTTCCACAGCTATAGTTGGACCCTACACCTCCAACCTCACCATTCACTTACCCTCAAGCATCCTGTCCTCATAGCAGACAGAACAGCCATCTATGACAAATGTGGAAACCTCCATAATGAGTGTCTAATCTACACAAACCTGAACGTGTACTAACCTGAACTTGCTGGTATTTAGTTCCTTGTAATCACTTGAATGTTAAGAATTTGCCTGGGATTGAGAATATAGCTCAGTGGAGAGACCTTCCTAGTATATACAGTTCAATCACCTGCACAACTTGAAAAAAAAAATCTATGTGACTTCAATAACAGAAAAACCCAGTTCTGACGCTTTAAACAAATAGGTATTTATCTTCCTCACATAACAAAGCTGAAGGAAGCGGCATTAGTCTAGTTAATCTGTGATCTCAGATCTGACATCTCTGTAGTTCTTGACCTCTTTCTGATGTTTGTCAACTCATGGCCACAAGGTGGTCTCACCCTCAGGGTTCACATCTAAGTTCTGATACTGCATTGATATTTAAAATTAATGTTTTCATATTCAAAAGTTTGAATGAAATTGTCTTTTGTTTTTCAGTTTTATTTATTTAATTTATTTATTTATTGGTCTTTTTGAGACAGGGTCTCCCTGTAGCCCCTGCTGTCCTGGAACTCACTATGTAGACCAGGCTGGCCTTGAACTCACAGAAATCTGCCTGCCTCTGCCTCCTGAGTGCTGGGATTAAAGGCGTGTGCCACCATGCCTGGCTTATTTATTTTTATTGTTATGTGTATGAGTGTTTTAACTGCATGTATGAAGTGTGTGTCATGCCTGTGAAGGCCAGAAGAAGGCATCAGATCCTGTGGAACTGGAGTTACAGTTGGTTGTTAAAACCCATGTGGGTGCTGGTTAGAACCTGGGTCCTCTGCAAGAGCAGCCAGTGCTCTGAACTGCTGAACCATTTCTCCAGACCCTGTTTTCTTTTGTTTTTTAGAGGAGAAAGGGGTTTATTTTAGCTTACAGTTCCATCATGGTGGGGAAGGTGTGGTAAGAGGCAGGTGCAGAAAGCTGTCTGATGACTTTTTGTTTTAAGATTTATTGTTATTGGGGCTGGAGAGATGGCTCAGCAGTTAAGAACACTGGCTATTCTTGCAGAAGACCAGGGTTCGAATCCCAGCATCCACATGGCAGCTAACAACCATCCATAACTTCAGTTCAGGAGGTATCCTACTCCCTCTTCTGTCCTCTGCAGGCATTGCATGACACAAGTGCACTTACATACATGCAGGCAATACACTCATATACATAAAATAAAAATAAACTCAAAGGTCCACCACTCAGGGGAGCTGGCCAATCAGCCTGCTGATGGGGAGGCCAATGTGGCTTCCTGCACTTGGTGACTGTTGAGGAAACTTGAATTTGGTATCATGGAGCAGCCTCAAGGCCCTGAAGAGACCCCATCTTCAGAACCAATGAAAGAAAAGGAAGACCCCATTGAGGCTCTTTAACATGGACTGCCCCAACCATGGCTTCAAGGTGAGCATGAAGCTGGAGGCCATGGACCTGATGGAGCCCCTGCTCAATTGCATGGCCACAGTGATGCGGGTGGTGCATCAGTTCCTCAACATCCACTTTGACAGCTGGGACAGCGAATATGATCAGTGGATGTACTGCAAGTCCCTGGACATCTACCCCATTGGCTGGTGTCAACTTGTAGACCTACTCCTCACCCTAACCTGTGGCCACAGGACCAACCACACTTCTGAAGGCTGGAGAGGCCACAAAGAAGGAAAAGAAACAGTTTGGAAAGAAAAGGAAAAGAATCCCGCCAGCCAATACCCAGCCCCTCAGGCAGTGGTCCAAGAAGCCCTTGCTGGAGGATGACTTTCAGGCTTTGGATGTCTCACCGGAGCCAGTTTCTGGTGAGACTTGATTTGTGTGTCAAGGAGGAGCATCAGGACCTTGCCTCACCTGACAAGTCACCAGGACCACAGCTGTCTATCCCCATCGAGAGCATCAAGCAGGAGAAAAAGTACTAAGCCTTCCCTGGGCAATAGCCTGGCCCTAACTGAAGCCAGGCTTGGTCAAGGAGCAGAGGGGGAGCCTGGTTTCTTTACTGCTATCCTCCTCCCACCCCCTTGAGTTTAAAGACAGCACTTGCACATAAATCCTCCCAATGGAAAGACTTCCCAGCGAAGGAGCAACCTGGGCTAGGGCCTACTTCTGCCCTCTGGCCAGGTCTATGTGACTGGGATTGCCTGAGGCCCCCAAACTGCAGCCTGAGATCTGAAGCACGTACACTTGCCCACTGTCCTTTCACCCCTACCTCTACCCCCACCCC